TAGTAGTAGTAGTAGTAGTAGTAGTAGTAGTAGTAGTAGTAGTAGTAGTAGTAACCATAGTTAGTGTTGTTCTGTTGATGGTGTTATACATTTGAGATATTGCTGTTATTTTGTCGCCGTCGTCTTCAATATCAACGTAATCATCATCATCATCATCACAATACCATCATCATCATCATCTTCATCTTCCTTTTCATTATCATCATCATCATCATCATCATCATCATCATCATCATCATCATCATCATCATCATCATCATCATCATCATATTGTAGGGACCTCCGACCTCTTACACCAACATTCCCCTCATCATATGTCTGCAGATCCGGATCCCAGTGAAGGAAATCCTCAAGTCAATGCCTGTGTGGGCTATTGTAGTCTCCCAAATTGGCTCGGACTGGCTGTATTACATGCTCATTAGCGTCGGACCTATGTATCTGAAAGACGTCATTAAGCTCTCTGATTTTGAGGTAGGGTCTTGGTGTTTTATTAACAGCACTTGAACATTTGGGTGGTGGGAGAAGACCTGGGAAGATAACGGTGAGGCATTGTGGTGAAATCAGGCGCTCTTCAAAAAAAGGAAATCAAAGAAACAAGCATTTTTTCCTCCAGATTTTGCAATTTTATCGAATTTCTGTTTTTTTGGCTCAACGTCTTTCATGTCCATTAAAAAACCCACTCATTTGCATGTGAATTTGATTGAAAAACGTTGATTAACGGCAAAAATATATGTACATTTTCAGTTTTCAAGGACTCTCAGCTATAGAAGCTACAAACTTTGGCTCCATTTCTCGCTAATTTTATCTTTAAGACCATGCTACCCCCACCTCCTTCAAAGGCAAATATTTTGACTTCTATTAAAGATAGATGGGTGTTCTTTTCCTAGAAAGCAAGGCAAATAAATCAGCTTTCAGAAGATACCAACAACTCCAAATGCCCAAAAATTGACGAGCGCCTGATTCCACCTCGGCGTGACACGGTTTTCGAAAGCATCCTACTGAACAGAGAGAGAAAAAAGTGGCGCAAGCCAAGATCGACAATGTGTGTTTCAGATTTTGATAGGTCTTTACTTGTATGGAGTCTGCTTGTACACATGAATAATGTGTCTGTTTATGCATGATGTAAAATCACACTGAAGTGAAGTTCATTTTGGGGTAGTTTTTTCC